GATGTGGAGCGGCATGCCAGAGATTTTATGGAGGCTGCAAAGAATCTCCAGCTTCATTTTATAAGTTTGCAACGGGAAGATCAGCCTTCCAAAGCTGAAACCCTTCGAAAGGTAATGCGCTGCTTGCATCCAAAATTCATTTGTTTAATAATCTTCATCCCTCCTTTTCCTATGGGGAATACAGAATTCCTTTTTTTTTTTTTCTTAAGTGTAAGTGGGATCACTTACACTCCATACCACCTAACCCGACCCGTCCCCTGGGAATATAAAATTCATGTTGTCTCATTCTAGCAGGAGATTGCTACGATGGAAGAAGAGTTAAAGTTGAAGAATGAACTTATCGATCAGCAAGAGAGGCTGATTCAGGATTGGAGGAAAGGGTTGGAGGATCAACTAGAAAAGCACAACAGCGAGTTAGAAAGAGTGTAGAGAACATGCTGAACACTAGATTAAACTTGGCATCTGAGTTTGTACTGAATCAGAAGATGCCATTTTGTTATAATCATAGCTAGTTTGCCTGTATTGTACTGTGTAACTGAGGACAGTATTTTTTGGGTTAGTAAAGTCAGAGATCTGTTGACAAAAGAAACGGAAAAGGACTGATGATCTTGCTGAATCCAATTACACCAGCATCAGCTTTTGGTATGGCTCTGTTATACATGCTTTTGTTCAAAGCTTTTAAGACATTAGCTGAAAAAGATTTCGCCACCCCTGCCGTTCTCTTACTGATTTCTCGCAGCAGCAGCAGCAGGCGACTCTTAAGAATTTTACGAGGGTGTGGTAAAAACAAAATGGCAAGGAATTGTTACAGCAATTGTCACCAAAAATATCTCTTTTGATGGAAACAGAGAAGAATAGAGCTATCCTAGAAGACGTTTTAAGGTAAATACACAACAATCTAAAATTACACGACTACAACTAGGAAAATTCAGGGTAAAATTGTTAACAAGCAAACTTGATAACATTCTTACAATCCTACCATCCTCTTCCTTAAGGAAAAATAAAAAGCAAAGATGGTAACTCATCCATTTACTTCTTTGCATAAGTTATTAACATGGGATTCTCTGCTGTGATCTTGAAACCTTGAAGTGCCTGCATCGCAACAGTTGATTGTATCTCATTTTCATACTCAACAAAAGCAATACCAGGTTTCGCTTCAACCATCCTAACTTCTTTAAAGCCCGGATATTGACAGAAGAGCATCTGCAGCATCATTGGAGTCGTCTGGTGAGGGAGATTCTGGACAAACAGAATATTATTTGGTGGTGCAGGAGCCTCGGGCATAGCAGCTTTAGAACCAGCCATGTATGGTAGCTGTGACAACTGTGACATTTATAGGTATGATGAAAAACAATTTGCAGTACAGGTTGGTATAGACAGGTCTTATATAAACAATGAAGCCAGGCCTAAATTGCCAGACACATTTACAAAGAAGTAACACCGTGTATTTGCAGCATCCCTTGCAAAATCAGTTAAAAGACCAGCTATCTGAACATATGCAGAAATATTATTCAATCTTTCATCTGAAAACTAGGCATGCCAAATTATCACCGGCTCTTTACTTGCATTTCCAGATTTAGCATCATGGGAACACCAAAGAACAGAAAATTTGAATCCTCAAGATCAAAGTTTTGTTATTCGGACTTGAATATTTTATTTTTCAGTGCATATGATCCAATGCTCTTATTAGAAGAGACAACTGTCAAAATCTGATTCACATCTGCTTAATCATAAACTCATGCAATCCATCATGAGGCAGCACCCACTTTGCACACAAAAGGGAAAAACTAGTACAAGGAGTTCCAATACTGTGACACTGAGAAGGTAAGAATGTGCTACCAATTGAGTGACATTGGCAACACACCATGGTGCTTCATTTATTTATGTCCTTTCTTAAAGAACTCTTGGGAGGAACATCATTTTAAATCTTCATTTTACCAATAAATATTAAGCTAAGAAAGTTATTTTATGGGGTATTGTAAAACAGAAGTTCAGTACTCAGAGAGACAAATCTGATTCATGGGGGGCCCGTTTCTGTTCCATGGGCCTAAGAGAGCAACAGCTAACATCGACAAATAGCAAAGCACTCGAGAACTTATAAACCCATCTATCATCTGTATCCTGTTAATCATCTCAAGGTAGCAATTCTTTCATGCACAGCTTATTGAGGTTATACTTTTGAATTTCACCTTCCAGGAAGCTTCACTTAGTTTATTCTCCTTAAATATCATTACATCATAGGTGGAAGCAATGCAAATACAATGGGAGAAAAAGAAAACAGATAATAAATTTATCATTTGACAACATGCTTACCGGAGGTGTTGCCCCGTAGGGACTAGTATATGCAGGATGGAGACCCATCCCAGCTTGATTTGCATCATGCTGGTCCTTTTTCTTCCTCCCTGTAGAAGACACAAAGCATAATTGACAGGAAAAATTGCTAAACGAGCCTCAAAATATTAAGGAAAACTAGCCCCAAACAATATCATGAAGTATGCAGATTGCTTATCATCCTCACTTAGGGCAGTTTTATATGTTGCGAAAATTTGAAATCACCTCTAACAAACTCTGTTATGGTGATATTCAGCACTTGGATACATACCAAGGCAAATATATCATATGTGACAAAGTGATGCATAAGGTGTCTTACCTCTGTCATCGCTCTTCTTTCTTTTTTCTCGAGGTACAAAAGTGCCATCGGCCTTTGCTACGACATCTGATTTTGTCTTTGCATATTGTATTCTCTGAGATGATTTTAGCAAATCACTTCATCAAAAGTACTCAAAGAAAAGAAGATTTCGTTCAGAATCTACTGATAATGTCAGGAGTGATGAATAAAAAAATAACAAAGAAAAAAGAAACTTAAGTTACATAAATGTTATTTAACTAGAAGCATGAATACTTTGAGCTTAACAAAACTTGCGACAAAGGAATTTGAATAAAGCACATAAAAGAAAAGAAGAGAAAAGGATTCAGGTATTGGGAATATCACCATAGGCTTGTCGTAGAATGGAAAGCCCTGCATTTGGCGAAGCGCACTGGTAGCAGAAGAAACGTCCTCGAATACCACCCAAGCCTGTCCTTTGTGTTTGAGGGTTTTGAACGCTAATACTTCCACTATCTTTCCGAATTGTGAGAAAACTGCTTTCAGTGATTTCTTCAGCTCTAAAAGAACCACCATCACCCCCCACAACAAACAATCAAATTACACAAAAATTTCAGTTTGAAACTAGCAAGGAATAGGATAGAGTTTAATTATAGATAATTAGAACAATAGATGACAATTACCGTCGAGCTTGATTTTCTCGTTTAGATTGTTAATGTAAATAGTCTGATTTTGAGGAATATCACTCCCTGGGGTTGCCGCCGTCAGCTCCGCCATGGCTGCTGGACGTCTTCCTCTCTACTTAAGAGCAGCAATTTGCAGGAGCAGCCGTGCTTCAATACACTCTTTAACGAAGCTGGAGAATTGCCTAAAACCACCGACTACGACCTTGGCTTGGAGGTTTTCCGATCGTTGGGGTTTGGAATTTGGGCCTAGTTAGATGGGTGGGTTATTGTAACGCTATTTGTTTAGTTTTGTAGTACGAACGACGGATTGCGTCTAAGTTGCTTGTCTTCTGGGCCATCTGTTTGCTATTGTTGGATACCCGAAATGGGTTGCTAATACCAGGCCTTATGATATTGGGCTCACCCTTCCGAGCTAGACCGTCAACCGACCTAGGTGGATACCAGCTCCCCCCAATCCGCAGACAAAGAACAAGGGGATGAAAACTACCTATTCAAATTAAGTAGCCATTTAGCACGACTGAAAGGAAATGTTATAGCTAGTTTGTGAGTTGAGGATAGAAAAGAAAAAAAAGAGAAAGGTTAAATTATGAGACAAAAGAAAGGATAAGAAAAGAAGAGAAGAGATTTTAATGTTATTTGAAAATTTATAAAAGAAAGGAGATGATTTTGGACACATTGATCAATAAATATTTCATTCAATAGCTTTTCAAGGATAGAACAGGCAATTTTAAAAATTTTTGTAGCCTTTCCGTAGCTTTCCTTTGCTTTCTGCCCAATTTGGACTGGAAATTTTTTTAAACTAATAGTAACGGATCTCCTCTTCCTTCAAAATCAGCCGGATTCTCTTCCTTTCTATTTCAGCAAAACTCTCAACGTGAAAAATGTCTACCTTTCTCTTCCCTTCTGTTTTTTTTTTTCTCGTTCAAATATCATCTCCCAAACTAAGCATTAGATAAGGCTTCTTGGTTGATGATCCTATTTTACTCCAAGAAAGGAAATCATCACCAACTTCACTTTATGGTATACTACTCAGCTCACTCAGAGAAATGCTTAAAGTAACAAGGAGTTGTGGAGGGGGAGGGGGAGGTTATCAAACCACGGGGCAAAAGTTTCATTTCATATGTCATTGAAATTGAATTGCTAACCCGCAACGCGAAACAAGAAGATAATCACCAATTTTGTTGATCATGATTACAACACAACAGAAAAGGAACAAAACTTGTGTTTGTTTTGTTCCGCTTCAGTTCCAAGTTCCAACTCCAACTTTAGGCAGCAAGATATACTCTTTGTGGTGTGATGGCTACCGCTGACTTCATTGACAATATGCTGAGACAAGACAAGGAGATATTTTAGCGCCGACAAACTTCTTCAGCCATTCCTTGTCTTTGTATATTTGAGGTAAGAAGAAAAAAAGGCCGAGCACTAGTCAGTCAAATTTTTTTCAATAAGTGTTCAGCAATAATCACTTATTAATATGGAGTGTGTTTGGATTGTAAGTTATTTGAAATATTTTTACTGTAGCACTTTTTGTGATGTGATGTATGTGAGATAAAAAGGTAATTGGGAAGATAAAAAGGTGTATTGGAAATTGTAATGGTGATGTCAGCAAATATATTTGGCCAAATAATTGGCTGTCCAAACACACCCACGGTTAAATTTCACCCAATCTATTATATATATATATATATGTACGCATGAATAATTATTACTTTGTTTTATATTTATATTTTTTTTTCTAATTAAATTTATCTTTCCAAATATATGACATTTGAAAAACCACATGTTACGAGCACACTCGTTAAACAGATGCATAGCAATCAGCTCTTTGCTTGCTGCGTCTCTTGACTGCGTTCAAGAGCCACCGATGGTGAATCGCGCACCCTCGTCTTATCATAGATTCTAACGTCAGGCACGATATGCGGCTCTGACAACCTGTGAAAGGATATGATACGTGTCCAAAGCAAGCGGCGGCGGCGCCGCCAACTCTCATCAAGACCAGCACCAGCATCCCATGAAAAAAGAAGAAGAAAAGGTTATAAATTGCAAATGGGCAAGGGTGATGAGAACCGAAAATTGCTAACCCAGTAATTTGCCCGTTGATTTGAGCCATCCCAGTTAAGCAAGAATTAAACTTGCGCTAATGTGTAAATAAATCGACATGGAAGCTTGAAGAAGTTAAGTGGCCACTACTTTTCAAGGTTGTATGATGTAATTATCAAATGAGCCGCTTTCACTCTCTCAGTTGGCCGTAGGGGGATTAGCATTGTTGTTGACGATGAATTCCACCATTAGGCTAGGCTTCGGAGGACAACCTAATTTCATGACGTCAAAGAGAGAAAATTAATAATTTAATTTAATTACTAATAACAAGACTCTTTCCAAGTACTTGCAATTTCAGTCATTGAATATTTTTTATTTTACTTGCATGCAGATGCAAAGTATTGTTCTTATTTAATCTATATTGACTTGATCTTAGTTGTACAATAATTAATGGGTTTACGAGAATCACCTCTAAAAAATGTTGTACGTCCCCTTTCTGCTCATGACTTCTTCTTGTTTGTATAGCATTGGCTTTGATGTAAGACTACTGTATTAAGAAATGATTTTATCAGCATCCACAACTGCAACTGAGTGGCTCGATGAAACATTCTCAGCCACTAATGGAAAGTCGTCCATCCACTTGGAGGAGAGGATTGGAGATTCACTGTACTAACAAAGCTTTAAGTTCATGGCCACGAGAATCACGACATCCTACTGATTGCTACTGCTGCCCGTGCAAGGCCGGAAAGTATTAACGGAACCCACGAAGCAGTCTCCCCTTCGTTGGCTTTTGGTGTCTCAAAAGCTTCACCTACGGGTCGCCCTCGGGTCACCCACGAGGCCTGCTTTTTTAAATTGGAGAACATCTGGCATTTTTTTTTAAAATTTAATTTTTTTACATATATCATGAATTCAATGATAATGATAATAATAATATATATATTATCAGTGTGTATATAATTTAATTTTTAAATAAAAATATAATATTTATTAGGTTATAATATATGTAAAATAAAATAAAATAAAATAAAGCGTGTGGCAGGACAAAATATTACTTTTTTTTTTTCTCTTTTAACACGTGTCTGAAAACAAGCCCCAAAACAATATAAAAAAACCATTAATTGAGCTAAAAAATTCTTGTATTCCAAGGACGTAGGCTTGAATATTTGGCCATGTACAGACTAAAATAAGCGTAAGTTGACGTGCACCAAAAGATTAGCGAGTCCGGTGTTAATATCATTTCATTTTTATCTTTTTTTTTTTTTGTCAATAACGACACATTTATATAATCTACCCCATCCTAATCTAGGGAAAGGAGAAGCCTAAGGAGGCTGTGATAGAAAATTAGTGAATATACAAATTCAACTAGATTAAGGAAGTGCTACGGCACACCCAACGAGTCTCGTGTTAATATCAAATTTCATTCTTATCCGAACGAGTTCGAGGAAAAAATCAGAGAGATGCAACCCCGATTAAATAAAAGAAAAAAGAAGAGGAAGAAGAAAAGAAAAGCAGAGGAAAGCGAAAAGAAGCGCCAGAAGAGTCGAGAGAGGACTAGAAACAACGCATATTGAATGATATATGGCGGGGGCAAGTTGGCAAGAGGATGAGGGGCCGTTCACGCTGGGGTTTGGGTGGCTGTGTTGACCGTTCACTTTTCCTGCAACGTAACAACCAACCACATACATTAACGGAGCACCCTGCAGTGAAATTAAAAACAAAATTCCAAAGGTGATGTTAAGGCACCAGATCTAGTCAATTCCTTACACAACTTTTTTAGGTTTTTCTGTCTCTATCCTTCTCGCAAGTGCCCACCAAATGGAATTAAATCCCTCTTTGAGCAATAGGTCAAAAATTTGAATATCACTTATAACAAAAAAAAAAGTACCAGAAATTGGAAAAGTTGAGGAAATTTCACCGCCACCAGTACCGTTCCAGCTACTAGAATAACTTGGAGACGTTAAAACGGAAAAAAAAAAGGAAAATTTGAGGAAGTTTCGCTGGCAGAGTGTCATTCAACTTTCACACGACCCGATATTATATTATAGAAATGTTTGGATAGAGTATTATACTTTCACACGACCCAACGGGTTTGTTTGGATAGAGTATTATTTGAAATATTATTTGGAATAATTACTGTAGCACTTTTTGTGATGTGATGTATGTGAGATAAAAAGTTAATTGAGAATATAAAAAGATGGGTTGAAAAATGTGTTTCTGATGCAAGCGAAATATTATTTAGAATAATACGTGTATCCAAACACACCCGTTATTGGTTGCGTAAAAAAAAAAAAAAAAAAAAGGTAGTACTAGTATAATTCGGAGAAGTAAAACCCACACGATACGAGAGTAAATTATATATCATCGCGTCAAAAAAAAAAAAAGTATTACTGGTATAGCTTGGAGAAGTGAAACCCGAAAATTGGAAAAGTTGAGGAAATTTGGCCAGTGTCGCCTGCACGAGGAAATTGTATAATAGGATATCTTTGATTGCGAATGTTATCATTGCGGTAAAGAAAAAAAAGTATATTACATAATTTGGAGAAGTGAAACCCCAAAATTCGAAAGGGTTAAGGAAATTTCGCCACCTTCATTCCACTTTCACACGATGCGATATTAGTTTCTGAGAATGTTATTGTTGAGTCAATAAAAAAACTACTGCCAGTATAACTTGAAGAAGCAATGCTTTGTTTGCAATGTGATTTTACGCAAAAAAAACCTAATGGATTTGTTTGGATATAATATTATTTAAAATATTATTTGAAATAATTATTGTAACACTTTTGTGATGTGATGTATGTGAGATAAAAAATTGATTGAAATATAAAAAAAATTGATTGAAAAATATGATTATGATGGAAGCGAGATATTATTTGAAAAAATTTGCTATCCAACAAACAAATATTTTTCAATCTTTTTTTTTTTATCTCATATACATCAAATCATTACAATTAATCGTTTTTTTTTTTTGTCTATCTTTCGTGCTAATGTTCTACATGACCATTTACTCATGAAGTTAACAAATCTCTCCCTTCATGAGTAACTCCATCATTAAATCTAAATTTACAAGCCCTTATTCGAACCCACTTTGAATACTCAATGCAAGCTCATCTTATCATATAATGTCACATTTTCTCCTTATTATGGACTCACTATTTTTCAACATTTAAACTATATTTTGGATCCCTGTCAACTCTTGGCTTATTGATTTAACACCAATCGAACCCCTGCCAAAATCCATGGCTCACCTAGTTTAATATTAGTCAAACTTTTTAGTACTTCGGTCTATTGCCTAGAAGAGAATTTTCATCGATCAAACTCCAAGAAGAATTCACCTAGCTATGAGTAATCCAGTTTCGCAACCCAAAACTTTGATACTTATTTAGTAGGGAGAAACATCTCGAGAGAGTTAATCAAATAGCCCAATATGTAAGTCAGTAATTCAACTCTGACAAAAAAATTTAAACTATTAGATTTTAGACCCCTACTTATATATTAATCGCTCATCTTTCGTGTCAATATGGGACAATAATACATTATTTTATATAAAAAAACTTTTAAAAATAGCGATCCAAGAAGGTCCTCGAAACCCAGAAATTGGAAAAGTTAAAGGAAATTTCGCCGCCAGCGTCATTCCGCTTTCAGACGACACGTGGATATTGGCACCGCACCGGAAGCAGCAGATGCAAACCTTAACCGGCACAGTTCTTCTTCGCCCGCCACAGTCAATGACGTTATTGAGAAGGGTGCTTAGGACGTCGATTTTTCCTCCTCGAAAGAAGTATCACGTGTCGAATGACAATGATTGATGTTAAGATAAGAAAAAGTAGAAGAGCAGACAGAGATACCCCAACCCCCCCCCCCCGCCCCCGCTTTTTTCACTTGCCCCAAATTAATTCCCAGCCCGTTCCAACCATAAATAATAATTGTAGCGTATTGCTCTATTCGTCAGTCCGTCTTCTGGAAAGTAGAAACACATTCGAGCTGGCGTTGAATGTTCTACTTTCCGTTTCCCTGGGCTCCGGGGGTGGGGCAAAGCGGTTTTTTACATTAATAATAATTCATGCAGATTCTCGGAATAGAATACAGAACCAGCTTGCGCCTCGCGCGCGCGCGTAGAAATCTTCTGAATTTGATGCATGGCTCGAATTTACTTACCGCCGATATATATATAAGTTGTTGCGTTTTGAGACGACAGAGGTTAGAAGCACAGAAAACCAACAAGTTGTGGTAGAGGTTTGTTCAAGTTCTCAACTTCGGAGATGCTGTCTGTCAATCGCCCTCCTCAATGCAATCATGCTAGTTGGCTTTTTAGTTTTTCAATAATTTTAAACTTACAAAAACGTTTTAGTCCCGTTTAAATTGCCATTTTCTGTCAGAAAATTACGTCGTTTTTCGTGATCACATTTCACTATTATCTTTTTCCCTCACATACATCAAATCGCTACAGTAATTTTTTCATAAAAAATGACGAAAAATACAATCCAAACGGGGATTCACCGAAAGCATAATTAGTAGTAAGTATTTAAGTTTAATAACTTCTAAGTATAATTTTTTTTTTTTCCGTTTGTTTGTTGGTGTAAAAATAATACTCCCTCCGTCCCACTTTGATAGTCCTGTTTTCCTTTTTTGTCTGTCCCAAAATGCAGTCCACTTTCCAATTGAAGAATGTAGTTGTATTTTCATTTTCCTAAAATACCCTTATTCAATATAAGTTGTTGTTGCTATAAACCTACCCCATTTAATGAGAGTTGATTCTTTTTTTACCATCAATTCAAGTTCTCGTAAAGTTGTACTCTATTTAATGTGAGGGTATTTTAGAAAAATAGCAATCTAAATTTACTTTTCCAACAAAGTTAACTACTTTTTCTTAAATTGTGTGAAAAAAGAAACAGAACTATCAAAATGGGACGGAGGGAGTAATAATAATAATAGCGCGAGACTTCTAGTAACTTCCATATATTGATTCTAATAAAAATATCTTATCCCACTTCATCATAATTATTATTACTATTAATATAATAAGATGGAAAAGACGGGGACCAGGTGTCAAAACACCGGAGGACCCTTTGGGCATGAGCAGTGGCCAACTTTGACGGTTGTGGCCGAGTCCCTATGACCCAATATTGTGCGTCGTGCCGCATAACGCGTCCCGCAGTCCTATATAAGACGCCTGCTTTGCAACCCTAATGAAACCTGAAAAGCAAAGCCCTTTCGCTTCATGATACAACGGAAAGACAGAAAGAGGGGAGGTTAGAAAAAAACGTTCATAAGACGCTGCTGCAGGAGTTCTATTCCCCATCCCCAAGTAAAACTTTCTGCGGCAGCTCTTTCATCTCACCACCTGATTTCATACGTTCTTAATTATTATAATATACATATATATAATCGGGTATCATTTTCCGTCCTCTTCGTATCCATCCAAACAAACAATAATAATGGCACGCTCCTTCCCCAACGCAAAGCTCATCTCAGCTTTCGTTGCCCAAAGGATCTCTGTCGCTGCAAGCAGGTATGCGTTTTTGTTTCTTTGTTTTTTTTTTTTCCTTTCTATTTCTGTGGTTCCCAGATATTTATATATTTGTTTTCAGCTTCTCGTGGGCGATTTAATCACGTAGGGGTGTAATAAATAATAAATACGTGTCAATAAAATTATGCAGGCGGGGATATGCAGCAGGTGCATCACAGGGAGCGGTGCCTGGTAGCATGAGAGGAGGAAGCAACGCGAACATGATGCGGAAGAAAGGAGGGGAAGAGTCGAGCAGCAAGACCACCTCGTGGGTGCCGGACCCCGTGACCGGATATTACCGGCCTGAGACACACGCCGCCGAGATTGATGCTGCTGAGCTCCGCAACATGCTCTTGAAGCACAAGAATTGAAAAGGAAACCCACAAAATGGGGGAGGCTCGCAACTCCCGACAGTTTCTTGGTAAAGACGTGGAGGGATCAGTTTTCGCCTTCTCTAGTTCCGGTCCAAGACTAGTGCCTTTTTATTTTTATTTTTATTTTTATTTTTCGGGGGAGTGGTTTTTCTTGTTAACCTCATTTCGTCTGATGAAACGTCGGAATTGTCAATTGTTGTACTACTGCTGCTACAACCAATATACATCTCCCTTAGGCCTCATGTGTAACGACTGGTGGGGTTAGCACCGAGTAACTCATGCGGGTCATATTCATTTCAGCTTTTTAGCCTCTCTTACCTTCTCTCTTTTGCTCTCTCTTTACATATATATGTATACATCAGTCAGTGCCGGTTATTGCCAACCATATGTGCTCCTGTTAGTTACCAACCTAAATAATAATGTTAGTCTGGATATGATCAACAAAAAATAGTTTGTTTAGTTGGAAAGGACTCCCAGGATCCAAAAACAATTCGAAAATAAATGATTTTCTTTTGAAGGAAAATTGCTAAATAAGGAAACCAGCATATTTGGGTGTGAATTACCGGAAATTTTATTAGTATTTGGAAAAATGTTCACGGTGCTTGCCGGTTCAGAAAGTGGATGAGTTTTTTTTTTTTCTTTCCCTTTTTTTGCTTTTTTGGGGTTCCTTTGTAGGAGCATTTTCTCAACAAGCCGCCATGCGCGATAGAAAATCCTAGCCGGAGAATCTTTTTATTTTAACGTTTTTTGATTTCTACAGCCCTGCTGTATGCCAGCAAAAATTAGCTAGTAAGGTGGACATGAAAATGCGCCTCAATAAACAAGGTTGTCTTTTCTGAGAGTGAGTAGCATCATACATGATGATGCTGGGACAAAATCAAAAGGGGCTTCCCTTTCTTTCATCAAAGATCAGACGTGTATTTGATTAGTGGAATTCGGGAAGGGTACCTTCATGGTAAAGTTCCACAAGCAGCAAAAACAATGAACACATTCTGACCACCTCTTGCCACAGAGCTCAAGGATTGATAAGTGGTGGCAAGGCCACCACTTAATGTAAGAGTCCGTTAAAGAGAGTACACGAATATGCATCAACAGAATGAAAGGAAGCATCTCTTTTTACGATTTTTATTCATTAGGCTGATGGGGAAAATCCATTTCAGACTCGAATTCGCCGCAGCTACAGCCTGAGCGCAAAAGAGAGGCGGCTAATGCTTGTTGGCAAAACCATTGATGCCGACAGCAGCATTTGCATTCACATAGAGGAGATATGAAAGCTAGGCTGAGACGTGCACGCACAGTTCACTTCGATCCTGTGCTGTCCCAAGTCGAGCGCTGGCTGCTCATCAGCCAAAGAGAGAAAGTTGGCAGGCAGCTACGCCTAACCAGGGGACAGGCACGGGGAGTGCTCAAGAATCAACATTATTCTTGATGCATGTGATAATGGCTCTTAATCGACCAAAGCAATTAGGTGGTTACCCATTATTCTTTGTTTCAGTAATTTGTCAAATTTTAAAACAGTAGCGTGTTATTTTTGCATGTGTGTGTGTTGAATCTGACAGGCAGTTTGAGACTTGGGATCATTAACCAGAGCCTAATTTACAGCATATGCTTTAACTACTAACCAAATGATCCTTCCAATTAAACCAATAGTCACAGGAACCGCAATTTGTCTTCCCCCGGATGCTGAAAAGGGTTCATCCTGTTTTCACGAATCACAGATACTGCGCACTGAAGTTCATCCAATAGGACCGGCGGCACATTCCTTTAGAGATGACCTGCCCAAAATATATTCGACAACTATTTAGAAGGAGGACTTCAACCAAACTGTGCAACCCTGTTTCACAACACAATCACATCAAGTTCCTCAACGCATAAATACACACTTTTTCTGTGTTTCTCTAATCAAGTAGACAGACAAGCAACATCACTCACCCAAGACTTGGAAATCTCAATGCTTCAGCTAGTACATGCACATGCACATTTGCTATGAATTTTGATCATGGATGTGAAACCGAGGATGCCATTTAGATGTTCATTTTAGATGAAAAGGATTAAAAAGCCCCAAGCCCTAATCCTGAAAGTAAAATACATGAAAATAGCTTAGCTTCCTTAACTATCTTCTCGACCGTTTAATTTCTCCTGCCCATGGTGAAAACTAAGCCTAAAACTGTGTTCTGGCTTTCAGCATTTCAAATTCCAAACGTGAAGACTTTAAACAAGATACAGACCAGAAGCAGTAAATGTTCCCAATAGAACAAGCGAACGCTCCACATTGCAAATATCATCAACGTAAAGAGTTCCTGTGTTGTCCAAAATTTCACAATAAACTAACCGAGAGATCAATTTTCAATGGTTGCAGGCAGCAGAACATAAATCAGCCACTTTTAGTTCATAGCAAAGGGTCTTACCAGCAATTGACATGCATTCAACATTTAAAACTAATCTCACAAAGCGAATTCGGGATAGGAGCAATAAACCGCCAAGAACAAAAAAAAGAGAACTAGCTCCAGATGGAAGGAAATCAAGAAGCCAGCTTAGGCTGAACCCAAATTGGTACAATATGATATTGAACAGCTGACAACAGCAGTATCTCCAATAAGAGGAAAAGGAAGTGAAAACAGGGGAATTATTTTATTTTTTTTTATTTAAAAAAACAGCCTAAATCCAGAACTAACCTCCCAAGTGGTCGTGGTGGTGGTGGGTCCGAAAAGCTAAATTGAAGAAACAAAAGGACTCCTGAGAATCTTCCTGGTTTCCCCATCGCAATTCAATCCGCACCCACACTGCGGAATAAGATCGAAATTATCAACTGGGAAATCTGCGGAGGCAATCCCAACGGAAAACTGAAGGTCATCGCCGTTCCGAGTAACCTCCAAAATGTTGAGCCAGAGAAAGAAAACCTTGACGCTAACGCCGGTGAGCCTTGAGAGCTTGTCCTTGGATATGTAACCACTGACCTTGGAATTATACTTCAATTGATACGAACCCTCCAACGAAAAGCTGCAAGAGTTGTTAAAGTAAGCATTGAATTTACCGGTTTGCTCATCCAGATCATAGCCGGTGGCGCCTTTAGGGAGGAGGCCCACGGGAAAGTCATAGGATTGGAGGATTTCGTAGGCGCTGGAAGCACCGTGGCTGGCGGCGGAGACCAGCAGCGATGGGTTATCATATACCGTCAAGGAAGAAAGGAAAAGGACAACTAGGAGAATCGGACGGTTCATTGGGTGGACTTTTGACATGATCCGTTTGCAGTAGGTGGAGAGCGGCGTTGCGGATGATTTGTTTCAAGAATGTTTATAATTTTTTTTTTTTTATGCGAGTAATGGGTATGAATTCAACAAGACAATGCTTGAATTGCGCTGGGTTGGGGAGATGGGAATGTGTCGGCTCCCGGGTCAGAATGCGCAGAGATATCAAACCAAAGTTGCCAAACCTATCTATCTTCACACTCGTTTTTTTTTTTTTTTTTTGGATGTATGAAAGTATTTGATCGTTTTATCCCAAAAAAAAAAAAAAGTCTTAGGAATGAAAAACAGCTTTCGCACGTGTTTGTGGTTGTGCACAGACCCAACCACCTATCATACGTGTACTACTGTTTCACCTAAAAACCAATAAAATCTATTGACACAGAATTATCTTTTTCTTAGTACTAGCATTTTCCTAACGACTGTCCTAAAACATTCACTAACAAAACAAAACAAAACTAATAATATTCAGCTAATCCGTCATATATATATATATATACACACACACAGAGAGAGAGAGAGAGATATACATACTAACAATCACAATTTTCTCTTGTATTTATATATTTTTTATATAAATTTTTCTTTTTTTATATTTATTTACTTATTCTAATTAATCATATATTTTAAAAAATACAACATCTAAAACATATTTTAACAAATGTATAACCATCTGTTAGACAAACTATTTAAAAAAAAAAAAATTTTACTCATTAGTATTCGAACCTGAACATAACAGTGCAGCTTTTGCCCTTGATTACCATAAACAAGGACAAAATGAAGAATCGGAAACTCCAAAAAAAATATGATTGGGTGCAGGATTTCTTCAACGAACATACGAGTACACAGCTACATAGATTCGTGTATTTTGCAGAATAAAGCGCATAAAATGGATAAGTCTCCGAAATGGGAAATCTGAAAACAGTGCCCCTTATTTCTGGATGATCCTTCAGCATTAAAAGGAGAACCATCACCTCCAGGTTACAGCTAATACGGTACATAATTTTTAAGCGGAAGCTCACCGGTGCTGCTCAAGAAGGATAGAAAAGGCGCCTCCAATTAAACTTGGAGCCGCTTCCGTACATTCCGATTCCGTCCCCAACGGCGGCGTTGACGCAGTCAAATCCACACCCACACTGGGGACTCTCATAAAAGTTGTCCACCTGAAAATCAGCAGAAGCGATCCCAACGGAGAAGTCCAGCTCGTCTCCGTCCACGGTCACCTCTCCAATGCCCAGCCAAAAGAAGAGGACCTTGACTTGGACACCGCTCAAGTCCGCGAGACGTTGATAGGATATGACCCCCGTTACTTTTGACTTGTACCTGATATTGTAGCCATCTATGGTGAAGCTGCAAGTCTCGTTCAAGTAGACGGTAAACTTGCCGGTGCTCCTGTCCAGTTCATAGCTAGTCACCCCCTTCGGCAGAATACCCACAGGGAACCCGTACTCTTGCAACACTTCGTACACTGTTGGAGTAGTACCGTCGTCGCTCATCGCCGGCGAACTTGACAAGAGTGCTAGGGAGACGAAGAAGATGCACAACGTCGTCGTCGTGGTTCTTGAATCCATGGTCATTAGACGCTACCTGCTGTGTTTAGCGATCAAGTGGTGGGAATTAGTTCCGAGATTTGGTCGATTTTGGCTAATAGATCCTGTGAAATTGACTGCAAGAAACTGATCCGGTTTCCTTCTTTTATCCCTAGTCTTACCTGTACTGCTGCCGCTGCTGCTGCTGCTAGTGCTACTGCTACTGCTATTGTATTCTCACGGGAAACTAGGAGGTGCTAGAGTGAAACGCTTCTTGGCTAAATTCGGGGATACGAGTCCTGTAGTCCAGCCGCGTGATCAGTACGTGGGTCAAAAAATGGGACTTTGTTGAACCGGAAAAGCAAACGGTATTCAAGTCCGTGACGGATGTACCGACATTCAATAATGATTTCAACCATTCACATTCCACGATGACTTTGATATTTACCACTAGGGATAATTTCAGAAACCTCCCCTTAGGTTTGTGACAATTTCATTAACCTCCCCTGAGGTTTTCACAATTACACTAACCTCCCTTGAGGTTTCTGATTTTGTAACAAAATCAGCCCATGACCGCAAAAGTGAACATAAAAAGGTGTTTTTAGGAAAGAGAGAAAAATTTGTTCCCATAAACGCTCCTGAGGTAGGTGTACAAGTTATATTAGTGAATTAATGAAAACTAATAAAAATCAGAAATAAATAAGAAAAAGTGAGGGGATGTTAGTGAAATAAGAAAAACGAGTGTCATTAACACCAGAAATCTGATCCAGATTCTTTTGCTTCCATTTGACATAGTCTGTGCGTCTGAATTTGGTGAATTCTAAATGACTTGCTAATAATAATCTTTTGGTGACCAAGAAACTTGAACCTAACATAGCTCAAAGCTGAGATGAGCATGGTGGCTGTTAGCATCCTTGCAGCATGCAAAGAGAAATCCCTAACCAATAGCAACACGAGCACATGTTCCTTATGGCTTCCCAAAAGCACCCCTCATACCATATTGAAGTCTATCAGCTCCAGCAAATTGAAAACATCTTGTTAATACGCAGGACATGGAAAAGATGAACTCTAACCCTCAAATAGAATGCGTCCTTCCCAGTATACTTAGTCACGTATTTGTTGCAAGCAATACAAACAGCCTCAAATGCTTCACATGAGACATTCTCATTTTTCCAACTAACCAAGTGGACATAGAATGGGAACTCATCAACTCCCTTCTTCTTCATGCCAACATCATAGATCTTGATCTTTGGATCTGGAACACCACAGCAGTAACTTGACTTTGGATAGGATTTGTTTTTTATTTTCAACATATTATGAACCAGCATTAAGAAGTGCAGAAACTAAGAAGTGAATTGAACAAGTTCACGAGCAGTGCAGAAACTAAGTTATTTGTCACACGCTGAAATTGCAACATTCAGATCCATTAAATGAAACAAGAACTAAAATAGTCATTATAAAACCTTAACAGTAATAAGGTGCAAACCAAAATTGCAATCCAAGAGTAATATCATTACAGATTTCATAACCATACATTAAATAAATAGAAATACAATCCAATACTATCCAAAACACCATATGCCTTAAAGCAATTCAGGCAGAGGGTGAGGATTGCAAACCTATTGTTTAGTTATAGTTTCACAAAACACCGTATACAAAAGTATGAGTAAGCAGTATATTAATGAACTATACTTCACAAATCACCACTAAGCACAAAAGAAGAGAAATGTAAGCATAACAGTAGCAATTAGAAATGCAGGCTAAAACTATTGCTGGTGCTAATATTGGCAGAATTCAGAGTTGCAGCTACATTCTTGCTAACATATGTAGTAGCTTGAGCATCACCAGGGGCTTGAACAGGAGCTGTTGACACATGATTAGTTGGTTGAGCAAGTTCTGGTGCAACTCTTCTGTGAGAACCTGTTGCAGCATTTGTCAAAATAGCATTTGAAGGCCTTCCTCTCTGTAGTTGTTCAAAATAGAAGAGTTTGTGTCTTATTGAATACATATGTAGTAGCACTAGATTGGATTTCATAATAAAAGAGCCCGTACCTTTCTTTTAGAGGTAATTGTACTTGTCTGTTCATTAACTTGAATATTTATGGCAGCATTTCCAGTAGAAGGATTTGAATTGCTACCTATACTTGAATGTATAATAGGCACATTCCCATGTGCATGATCCTGTTATAATAAATTTACATGTTAAAGTAATATGATTAGGTAACACTAAGGACTAATTGCATAATTGAAACATGATTTATACCCAGAGAACAGATCCTTGCAGTCCTAAATTTGCAATTCCTCTATCTGGTTTCCCTCTTCTAGTTGGCATCTGTCATGAAGTAAACAACATAAGCAGTTGATGAGTCAAGCAAGAACATTTAATTTGTACAAATATGTGTATGATGATACCTGTTGAGCATGAGTATTAGCCGGATTCTTTATTTGCGCAGGAGCTCTTTGACATGTTCTTATATTGTGACTAAACTGACCACAATTTTCATCCTTTAAGGTACTAGACCTTTTTGGCTGAGATGAATGTCCTTCATCAGATTCTCTTCTTCTGTTAACTCTTGGTCTACCAGGTGCTCTTCTCAAATGAGGGGGCAATACAACCTTAGGGGTAACTTCATACATAGGAGGCCACCTCTTTTCATGAGGTATAGGGTGAATCATAAAAGCAAATGCCTTCAGGTAAATGTCTTTGGAGAACCAATGATCACAATAATCTTCCAACTTTTCCTTTTTGTAGATGATGCCAGGTGCAGCATGTTTGCAAGGAAGTCCAACAAATTAGAAGACACCACAGTCACAGGTCCTTTGGTTTAAATTGATTATGAACGATCTGTTCATATCACCAACCTCAAATGTATTATCACTTGCCATAGTCAGGGTACAATGCCTTGATGCTTGATCAATTTTTTTGAGCTTTTCAACAAATTTTGGGGTGATTCTGTTAGTTAATGTGCATCCCTTTTGGTATCTCTTATGCATTTTCTTCATGAATTTCCTTCTTAAACCTCCAACAAGGGTAAGTATGGGTTTGCCTCTGAGATCACCAACCCATGAATTAAACGATTTAGTAAAATTATTTGTGACACGGTCACATTTAATTTCATTTAGAAATGTATATCTATACCAGGCTTTCTTGAAAATTTTGTCCAAATATTTTCAAGCCTGTATGTTGATGTCTTTAATGGTTGACATTGCTTCATTGTGGCTTTTGTGATCAAAACTCTTTGTTGCCTTCCAAAAAAAACTATTAAGCAGCATGCCTGGAAATTGCTGCTTGAAACTGCTGCAAATGTGCCTGCAACAATATCTGTCACCAGCATTTGGAAATATCCCCTCATAAGCAAGATTAAGCCCGTAAAACAGCATAATTCATGAGTCAAAAAAACTATTTTAGATCCTTTAACAAGTCCAAGCAAAGAGTAGATTGTTCTGAGTAGTACTTTTTGCCTATCACTCATAAAGGTTAAAGGTAAGTGGCTGTTGAATGGTCCAAAAACTCCTAAAAAAAGTGAAAGACCAGCTCCATGTTTTCTTGTTTTTACATTCGGCTACAACAAATACAATTGAAAATACACTATCATTGCCATATAAGGCCACTACTGTGAGCAAAACACCACCAAAGAGACCCTTCAAGTAACAGCCATCAAAGCCAATGAATGGCCTGCAACCTTCAAGAAAACCAGTTTTATGTACTCTAAAATTAACAAATATTCTTAAAAATTTGGGCATTACAAGGAGATTTGGCCTATCATAATGTATTTTGCAAATGCTTTGTGGATTATATTGTCTTAGAAGTACAGCATACTTTGGTAATTTGCTATAAGAATCAATGAAATTTCCTTGAATCTCTTATTCTGCTTTTTT